TATGATCGAACGCTCAAGTATCTTTCCTAGATAATTCAACGTGATGCGACCATCTTCAAACTATTTCTTAGAATCTAGCTTGTATGATTTCCGTTCCCAGGAAAGATATACGCCAATATCGGTACACTTTGAGTATTTTTCCGACGTTTTTTCTTTTATGAATGGTCATTAAAAAAGGGCATTCGTAAAATTTCATGCATTTTGGCGGCCACTGACGTATTATGCCTTATCAGTGTATACCATCGTTAAGTATTTGGTTAAGGTAAAAGTGTTTGTGGAGGAGACTCTGAAGAAAGGTGTCAAAGGATTGGTAGCAGAATTCAAAGGCATGAAACGTAGCAATGATTTCACTGTAATGACAGCATTCGTAGCGGAGATTCCAAATGGAAGAAATCGATATAAGGTTGCTACAATGCTCTTCTTTGCTCATGAATTGTTTCTCGAGGCTTGTGCAGGATGTTGGATGCTTGGATAATCGGCGGGTCGTGTTGAACATTGGCAGCACATCTTATATTCATGCAAACTACGTTTCAACACCGAATAATTCCAAAAGATTCATTTGCACTCAGGCGAGTGTTTTCAAAAATAGGAGTTTGAACGGTACAATACTATTTAACATAATGTTCAAGCGAACAAAGCCGCACACTGATGGCCTTAGATGCTCTAAAACACTTGGCTTTTACTTGTCAGCGTTTCAAGTGAGAGACTTGTGCAAGAGAACCACTTGTACGGGTCAGAAGCCAAAGTTGCGGATTTTTTCGCAAAGCAATGCCCGCGACGCGACGTCAAGGTACGAGAATCAGCTTCCGCCAGTACTTCCGGCAACGTTAATTTTGACATCGATTCATGTATCTGCCTCCCCCACCCCTCTAATAACCCGCCGTACCACTTTAGTACCGAAGAACTTTTATGGAGCCAAAAATTTGAGAGCGGAGTGCGCGCTGAGACTCTTGACTCGTGGCCGAGAAGACCGCTTTGCAATCTGCTTACGTTTAGGGCAGACAGGCTGCGTATTGTACTCTTGAAACTTTGTACAATGTTTAGAGTCCGAGATATCTCTCTTGCCTTGTGCTATAATATCGTAACCAGTGAATTTGCATATAGGCTCCGCTCCCAAAGACATGTCCCGAATTTTGGTATATGGTAGTACAAGAAAAATCTTCCTCAGTATTGATGCTTTGCAATTTTGTCGAGCAGGTAAAAAAATGATTCATATCTTCTTCATTCCTACCAAGTTCTGCTTTATAGAACGCAAAGAAATGTGCGGAGTACTACCCTACTCAAGAAGGCCAAACTCTCCAATTTGATGATGGCGTAAGCGTATTGTGCAAAGGGCAGGACGATGTGAGATCAAAAAGTAACGCTCGGGTCTACATGATGAAGAAAATCTCCGCTTTAGTTCCCATTCCCTATGGAAACAAAAGTGAAAATTCGAGTGACTCATTTGGAAGTGAGCGTCAGTGGGCAACCAATGCATGAATGCGATCACTACCAGTGGGTCGACTGGCCAGACCGTGGTGTACCAGAAGCAGATATGGCGCCAATAGCTCTTTTAGCAAAGCTGAAGGAAAGCACGTTAGTTCACTCAAATCCAGTACTTTGATAAATACTTTTCTCAAATACTTTTCTCTTCTCATCGCATCACTATAACTTCAACTTTCAGAGCACCTATCATTGTCCATTGCTCCGCTGGTATTGGTCGAACTGGCTGTATTGTGCTAATTGAGCATGCTATGGAACTGTTGCACAACAACGAACCTTTGCTCGAGATCAATGGTTACCTACTGGAATTACGTAAGCAACGGAACAACAGTATCCAGGTAGGTTCATCAAAATCGCTGGCAGTTTTTTTCAAACTTTCCTCGTGAGAGATAAGAAAGATGTTGCAGTTATATGAGCAAACTTGTTTGTGAAAAAGGGGAGGATGGTATTTAGCAAGCCATACCTTTCACTACAATACACTAATTGGCAATCGAATGTCATATTCTCTAGCTATTCAATGACAGCCATTGCAGACAGAGCAGCAGTATCTCTATGTGCATCAAGTGCTATTATTGTATTTGAAAAAAGCCAAATATCTTGATGATGTTGTGGATCCGTATCTGGAGTCGTTTACAAAAGATTATGAGGCAGCCACCAAAGGATTTTGAGATCATAAACAAAAGAAGACAGTCATGATTGTGATCAAATGCTTCACGTACTATTAATTGATTACTGAACAAGTTTGTCGACTCACCACGGTTACGCGTTTCACTATTAAAGTAAAATGTCCTGATTTTCAAGATTATTGATTTCCGACAGTGCAGATAAAATTTCAAAAAAGTCGTGTTTTCATTTTTTCGTAAAAATTTTGCAAATAACCCGGTGTTCTCAATGCTAGCTCTGATAACATGCTTCAGTCGTCTTAAGTACTTTATCGTTCAATTCTTATCATAGTGTCATAGCTGCTCTTTCTTGTCCTCTCATTCTAAGGTATTGTGACGGTACAGTACGATTCCAAATCTTTTATGGCAAATCATTCTGCTGGATTTCTGAAATGTAAACTTACGTAGACTTTTCCTCCTTCTTCCAAACTGATTTGCAATAAGGTTAACCATTATGATAGTTAAAGTGCTGTGGAAAAATGGTGAACATAAAATATTTACATTACGAGATCATTGTAATGAGTGGATCATTCACCTGCCTGATAGTTAGAAATTTTATGTATGCTGTGTGGGACAGTAGGCTTGTATACAAGGTAAAGCTTTCTCCTCAAAAGCAGTAGTGGAGCTTTTCCCGAAATTATCTGGCAAAAAAACCTATGGAATATCCATACATTCGTGAGTACTCTTTGTCCCGATTCCATGATGCAAAACAGCACCAATGGAGAAGTTTGTGTATATCGAGGATGACCAAAACATGCAATGGAGCAGGAAGTAGTTGTATATTAAAGGTGATGAATCTCGGTGCGTTGGTGTGAAGCTTATCAATTTCCGGCAAAGACACTGTCGCCTTATCACAGATTGCTTATGTGAAAAACTAAGCATTCGCATAAAATTCTGTTGACCCGACGTTCACATCCTTCGTTGGTGCCTGCTCCGCAAAACTGCGCACTCTGCGATATGGCCTGCCCGCTTTGAAAAGACTTCAGTTAAACTGATTTTATGCTCTTTTTGCCACATACTGTAAACATTATGTTTTGCCAGTGACTTCATTGTTCTCCGTATGCTAAGTGCTTTCCCTCTGTAAGTGATGTAGCTCAAAGCAGAGTCTTTCAGATTATGCTTCTTAGCGCATTCTTCATCTTGATCGTAGTTCTTCCTCTCCACATAAACAGCCAAAGCTTGGTAACTGTACGCTCTTAATCATGCAGACTTCCATGAGAAAGTACCTTAAGGCACAAACCTCCTACGCCTTGGATGTCGATACCCTCACCACTCAGTCTACGTTCATGTGCATGAGGATCAACCAATATCAGGTGGTGTTTATAAGGTGAGACCTGACTGGTTACGCTAGACTTTCGTATGCTCGAGAAAAATGGTCGGATTCTGCATATTTTCAAATTATTGCAGTACGCTTTTGCTTGTTCTTATACCATGGATACTTCAGCGGGAAGAATTAGGAACTTTGTTACATGTTTCTAATCTATCATGAGATTTGACCACTTTCGAATCGTGACGCATAATCACTGACAGCTCACGGAAAGAACTTGATAATTGTGTTCTGACGTGTCTGCTCTAATTGTCACTATTCAAGATCTCCAAGGTCCACATTGAAAACTGATTGCTAAAATATTATCAATATCAATAATGTCAAAAACAAAATCCAGACTTTGGTAATATTCCAAAAGCTCGTCGAAGAACAGCCAGAACGCATGCTCATCGGGAAGATGATGGCACGAATGTGGAGCTTCTTCAAAAAATGCGAATTTAAGTGTCGAATACTGCTGTGCCGAACAGGTTGGTAGG